GTAAATCTACGACACGGGACACCCGACTTAAAGTCCCTCCCGGAGGACTTGTTCCCTGAATTTTTCCGCCCTTAAAAATTCCACGACCTCCGCGTACCTTGAGTCATGAGGTGGGAACGTTACCCCTAGACTACGGAGATCACTATATAGACATATGGTATACAGCTATTGTGCTGTATGAAACCATCAAACACAAAACTATTTCAAAGACTTCAATCAAAATTCCTGCGCTCAGTAACTAAACACCTTGGAATGTCTCCAACTTTACTATCCACAATGATTTGCAAATCCCATTTGTCATAGAAGAAATACATAGATTATAAACACTCTACCATCAAAGCATACTCGGACACAGCAACAGACTAGTTGTAGAAATTAGCAACCCACCAAATGTAAAAAGACTGAGGTGAGAGTGGCCGTCTGACTCGTCTGACCTACCACAACCTGCAGATGACGAAGTTTAAACCCATCACAATTCCTCTATAGGGCCTGTCAGAGTATCATCAGTGTATGACTTTTATATTCAAGACACATACTCAGAATAAATTTACTTACTCCATAATGTTGTATTTTAGCGTCCTGTTGCACTGATCCTCGTCCATAATATGTAAGCAGTGTCCGTCTTTTAGTGCACTCAATTTTACTTGTTACTTCACACTTCACTTGCTACTTACTCCATATTATAGAGCGTATATTATAAATATGCAATTTATATGTTAACAAATTAATAAAGAAGTTTGATGACGGTGTGAGCTGGCCATGTTGAACTATAAACATGATGAAGGAGAATAAATTTGCTTATAAACTTTGTTTTTGTTTGACGAAAAATACAGCACGGCGGTGGTGTGAACGTGAGAGCTTAATCGATAAATTTATCGTATTTGGTATTCATATTAGACATGCATCACCACACAGTATGATTATTCAGTTAGAGTCCTTGGCTGCCTCGCCAATTACACTGTCTCATTTGAAATAATGTTGGCAACACTGATTTTTCTAGAACTCCTTGTTATATCAAAATTTGTTTTATTCTCCTTTAGAATCCAAAGGAGAAGCCTCTCCTTTCATTATTTCCTTCCCTCCTTTCTCCCGTATTCCTTTTCCTCAGTATTATTTGTACGGTCTATCATCATTTCTTTCCTTCACCTTCCTCCCTCTCCTTTACACTAAAAGATTTTAGGCAAATATCGGTTGAAATATACCCTTAAGGTTCGGCCACACAGAGCGCTACGTACGCTATGTTCGCTATATGAACAGAAAAATATCTCCCTTTATTGTCAATGAGACTGGTCACACAGACTTCTGTACGCTACGTACGCTATGTTCCCTATGTTAGCTGCGTCGCAGAGTGAACACTGCATACGTAGCGTACGCAGCGAACACGGCGTACGTAGCGCTCTGTGTGGCCGAACCTCTACAGAAAGATAGCCATGAAGAATAGTAGCCGGGCTACGTTCTGTATCATTTCGACGCTCTCCCCGACGTCGATATCCTCTGCAAGCGCAAGAATATAAACACACACACATCTTATCGAATGATGCGTCGAGGCTCTTTGACTATTATCGCCATCTGCCAGACACAGAGAGTAATTGCGTACATACTCCGAGAGCGCGAAAAGAAACATACATACACAAACACTGGCTTTCATATAAGCCTACACAAGAAGGTAGGCCCACTTCGTGCTAGTGTTAATACTTCAATTCTGGCAGGCACAGCTACATGAACTACTCGTAAATGTGGCCAAAATGAACAGAACTCTATTTATAGCTGTCGGTGGAATTTTCAATTGACATAATCCTACGACCCTGAGTTCAACTCAGCCCCCAACAAAAAGGAGTACCAGGAATCTTCCTGGGGTGTAAAGGGCGGCCGGCGTGTAAGGCTGACAACCTTACCGCCACGTGTGAGCCGATTATCTAGAACCTCAACATCTCACAACCCTATGGGTCTCCAAGACCTCTTACAGGGATAGCTTTACCTACTTTTTATGAGAAAGCTATTATATTCGTCCAATGAACGTTAGAGGCATGCGTTAACATACAATATTATTACACGTCTGTACTGTGAAAATCTCCACGTGGGATTGACCAAGTGACAATGTTTTATACGACGGAACTAGCGAACAAGTAAAATATTGGGTGAAAATTCACTGATAGGGACCGCCTGGCACACTGAGACGTAGATGGAAAGGCAAAGTTAAAATATTAGAATATTTCGTTACATGGCCGAACATGATGGTCACGCGAGTTCTGAGGCATGAACAATTATCGCCCGCTCGAACACTGGGGTCGTGGGTTCAAACTACGCTCGAGGCATTGATGTCTGTGTGCGTTCAATCTGTGTTTGTGCCGTTCTGTTTATAGGTAGCGGCCTTGCGGTAGGCTCATCCTCCGTCCAAGAAGTCCAACCGACTGTTTATAGGATTTTTTTCCTTGGCACTACAGCCCAAGTGGGCCTAGGCCTACCTCCTTGAATTTCTTCGTTCACTTCTGTTTTTTCTCAATCTTACACTTTCGGTAGGACTCCTTGGGGGGGTGATCAGCTCGTCGCAAGGCCTCTACCTGTATACAAATACAGAAAAACGCACACACTCAAACTAAACATCCATGCCCTGAGTGGGAATCGAACCCACGATCCCGGTTTCCAAGCGAGCGAAGATAGTACGTGCCTTAGACAGCTCGGCTACCGTGACCGGCTTTTGTAGGATTACGAAATTGTGAAAAGCTGCCAGGGCCCAACAAAGGGCTGTAGAACCGTTGATGAATAAATGAAAATACATTATATGATGTGAAGTGGAAGGAAATGAAGGTAAAATGGTGGCAGCTTGCGGTATCTGATCGATTTGGGGGTTCAAAAACAGTGAATGGGCTACCTTTAATGCCTTGGTGTTAATCGGTTATTGAAAGATGATGAGATCATTGTTTCATGTGTCTGAACCGGTACTGCAAATGCAGTCCATTTTGTGGAATGAAACATAATTTGAAGAGAAGAATGGCTGCAGCTCCAGGATAGGTAGGACGGAACCTAACATCTGTGACAAATGTGAACTTATTCCCAACCTGGGACACGTCTGTTTTTACACGAGGTATTTGCCATAACGCACAACATCTCGCTAGCGCCCATCCTCATCCAGTGCTCCAATGATTTCGTAGACCTGTGTAGTGGAGGGTGTAGTCCAGCTGGGTCCACTCGGCACGGCGGCCACTGATTGGCCGATTGTAGCCTGCACCACGTGATTATGATGATGGAGAATTTGGTGGAATGAAGATTGGCAAGGGAAACCGAAGTACTCGGAGAAAACCCTCCGCAGGGCTACTTTGTCCACCACAAATCCCACTTGATCAGACCCCGGGATCGAACCCGGACCGCCGCGGTGGGAAACCAGTGACTAACTGCTTGAGCTATGGCGCGGCCTTAAGTTGTGCACTAGCCGTTGCTTGATGGCGACTTCAACGGAAGACATCCGAATTGTGACCGGCCTCAGCTACCAGTTTCTAACAGCAACAGCTCACAACGACTTGTCCTAACTCCCGCATTAACTGACTCATAGACTCACCAACGGACTCAACTACCTCATTAAATGACCTGCTTATAACATCTAGGAACGGATCGCACAGAAAACACCGTGAATCTGTTGCTGCTTTCAGGCATTTGCCTAGTAACGGCCGTTGTCTAGTTGTTTGTTCCCTAGCAACGGGCCTACATGCCTAGACTAGTACTTTTTAATGAAGACGCAACAATCTATCACTAAGTGAAGATTACGAGCCCTCGTCACCAATATTTGTTGGCGTATACATCATTGTACTGCAGACACAAACACATTATTGTAAATCTGACTAAATTACACCACACCACGTATTAAAAAGTAATATTTCTTATGGATATTAGGCATTGCTAGTCTGATAGAAGTTTTGCCTCCATCTTCAGGGTAAAAAATTAGCTAAACAAAGGGCAGGCATATTTCATGGAAGTATAATTACTTTTCCCTTGATTTTCTTTAAGTATTCATGATACCACAAGCATGTCAAATAAAAGTCTCCATAAGCAGCCTAAATTTTAATTACACGTAGCTTGTATTATGTAATGAATGTCTTTTGTTGGTGAAGATATCTTTAAATTAAAGAACTATTTATATTGATACATTTAGATTTGCACTTCATTTAAACTAGAATTATATTGGGCCAATATGAATATAAGAACCTAAAAGCGTCGGGAAAATTTGATGTACAGCCAATATTAACTATTACGTTCTCTCGGAATAAAAGGCAACATACGAATTATGTGTTCATTTTACGAAACTTGTGCCAGTAGTAAGTAAAATATTCCAAAGAAATGTTTTTGCTGATGTACCTGCAAAGTAGGAGGAGGAGTCAGTAAGTAGGTCACAGATAGATATAAGACGTAAAATATGTGATATTCGAAACTGAAGAAAAATATGTATTTCTCGACAAATTCTCCACCAACACTGCTACACTTGTCCCATCGCTTTACCAATGTATCGAAACCCTCAGCATAGAAGTCATTTGACTGTTGTCTCAGCCACTTCCGCGAATCCGTTTCAACCTCTTCGTCATCAGCGAAACCTTTGTCATCCAGTTGTGAACCGCTTTACACGACAAACACCTTCCACCGTGAATAGCAAACATTTCTTTATGAATATCCTTTGTCATGAGTCTTTTGCTTGCAGAAGAAGACGCGCAACAGAACATTGCTCTTCAGTATTAAACTCCCATAGCACGGTGGCCATTTTAACTACTGAAACCAACCTCTGAACATGTTCATGCGCGTCTGCTACCTACACTGTCATGAAGCTGGACTGTACTGCTACCTAGTGATACACATAGGAAACCTATCACATCCATTACAGCTGCTGTACTCCTAATTGTGACCTATTTACTGACTCTCCCACGTACTTCAGAATATAACACCGGTTTGCCAGAAGGTGGCAGGAAGTATGCAAACTGTTCTTCGTTGATCGAAATCCGCGTAGGCTTACTAACCTTGGTGTTGATGTCTCCGGATGACCGGAGATATTTCCTCGGACAGAATGCGTTCTACGCCGAACTTGAGCTGGCGTGAGTCCGGGGCAGGTGGAGTTACGTCACTACGATCACCAGCAGCACAAAATCTCCTAGCGGTAAGCGACGACTCCCGACGTGATTTCGCGTCAGTCAGGAGACCAGGATGATGCATTTCGACGATGTCTTCCGAAGGACTGTCACACTTCAATAACTCATGTGGCGACGATGGGCTTCTATCGCGTCTGGGACTTGAAGATGAAGAAATACCGACAGAGGTGCTACCACGTCTTCCTGTTGTTATTACAGGGACATGAGATGGCACTGGGCTTCTACTGAGCCTGGAGTCCGGGCTAGGAGGGGCTCTTCGCACGGTCGGTATTACAATAGGGTAGGAAGGAAACGGTGAAGAACTTCCTTTGACAGTTATGTCAGAAACCGGGCTCTTCCTTCTGGAAACGAACATGAGTGGACTTGCCGTCTCGCGAACACAGCTATAAGTAGGAGGACTGATGGAAGTTGAATTGCTCTCAGGATCAGGGCTTCTGCTCATTATTACTAGATTCACTGACGTGAAAATACGGAGACAATAAAGAAAATTATTTTCTTAATATAAAAGTGGATTTCTAGGTTTATAAATCCGGACAAAGAATTTTTCTGGACTGTTTATGAGAGCAGGAAACTAATTATGTCCGAGTAGATTGGTAACTGACATGAGAGATTCAAAATCCTTTTACTTGATGATTCGGATGAATAAAAGTTGAGAATAACAGGCCTTCGTTGTGAAAATTTGGATTGGTACTTGAGAAACTCGAACAGTCGTGACAAGCTTCTGGTGACATACCTATGGTAGTTGAACTGAAGTAGTCTCTGTGAGAGGTTCCAGCTTAGGCCTACTTGAACAAACAGGTGTACGCCTTACATGCTGATTTCTCCTGTTATTACAGTAGTAGATTCCGTACTAAGAACTGATGTTTCTGTGTGCGTGTTCTAAATGTCTGACGCTTCGAAGTTAAAACGTTCAACACTTAGGCCTATGAAGGGACTGTGTCACGGAAACCGCTTAGATGAAACTGCAAACGCAGTGAAAAACACTTCACTCTAGCAGATGTTGCATTTGTGGAAGCATTTCACTGCAGAACGTTTGCAAACTATGAAATTCTTCTCAGATATGTCTGTCTATTAGAGAACATCTTAGTACATTGTTGCGTGAAAGGCCTATTTATGGAAAAGACAAGTAATGTTCTCTGTTAAACGTGATCAACTGATGGACATATTTAGAGATAATATCTGACGATTTAACACCAACTGGTGAGCAGAATATGCCAGGGACATCAGTTAAAATGATGGAATGAACAATGTTAATCTTGCTTCGTAACCAGAACAGGTTAACAGCATAATCCGTGGTGATTATACTGAACACTCATTCATTCAGATTAATATGATCGCAGTTATGCCACATTTGTATTATGCACAACAAGCACAGAACTGACAGTAGGCACACTTTCGCTATGCTTATTCGTAGCCTTCATCAGGATTCACACTGGTCGTAAACCACGGCTGAGATGTTTTAAAATACATAAGAAATACAAATTTGGATGGTTCCTTTGAATTTATATTAGTTTCTTGTGTTTATATAACACCACGGTTAACTCACTGTGTTCCACTTTCACCAAACGGCTTACCCACTAGCATACACATGTACAATTAACTGGCAGACACAACCACATCCCCAGCAACTCACAACTCCCTCAGAACTCCAGCTTCCCGAATGTCTTAATAGGAGGAGGGCGGAGATTAGGGAGACCAATAGAAACTTCCAATTGGTAATTGCTCATAGGAGAATGGGCGGTGATAGTGTCATGGGGGCGTGGAGAGGACCCAACACTTACTGAATGATAATGTATAGCGGTGAATTTGGAGGCCTCGCGTTAAGTGAAAACGATCAGTTCTCGGTAGTGGCTCCTTACACAGCTTCACGGATGAATACACGCGCTGTATCCAATAATACACGAAGGCTTACTGTGTATGAGGAACAATAAAGCATCCAGTACAACCGCAAGCATGATGGTCGCTCGCCAGCATCTGTTTCTGGCTACAGTAGCACATAAACTAGAGTGTCTTTCGGTGAATGTGGGTACATTTCGCAGCTGTGACACTAGACCTCTGTTTATCTCTACCCGTGATTTATTTAATTCCATAAACAAAGCAGACGTACAGGTAAACGTTACAGAAATTGTTATAAATCAAAAAAGAAAACATATACTATAGTTGTTTTGGCCATGCTAAACGTTACTTAACACAGTTCAAATATAGAAACATTACATTCACAAAATAAATACTGAATAAAGAAAAATAAACTTTGAGGTTTATGAACACTTTCAAGAAATCTTATAAACATGAAGCCGTGTCTCCATCCCTCCCGATATGTGTTCACATTGCTACGTGTGGAGGCACGCACATGTGTTTAAACCGTACCTACTAACTGCTCTGACACTGTACACGTTACATGAAACTGTGGGAAGCCCCACCATTACGTCATCTGAGGGAATATTCTACGGTTAAATACAACACCACAGCTCTAAAAATATGTAAGTATAGGGTAAACCTTCAGTTTAGTCGATATAGTGATGAACCACGGCCTGGAGTTCGATTCCCAGCAGGGGAGAGTTTTGCTCTTCTCCACAATGTCCAGACCGGCTCTGGGGCTCACCCACTCTCATAACCAGTTGGTATCGGGGCCTCTTTCCAGGAGGTAAAGCGGCCGGGGCGTGAAGTTGACCACTCACCTCCGTCTTGTGCCAACGACAAGTATGGTGGAGCAGCACAGGGAGAAATTTACCTTTATCTCCATAGGTTAAGCCCGTTTCGTTTCGCAGAACGACAGTATAAGTGCACCAAGATGGCTCAACAATGGAATCAAGGTGACGTGTTTACACTATGGATATACCGAACTCCATGGCGAATTTAGAATGTACTGCCACGAAATAGGTTATGTCAAAAATACCTGGGTATGTATACCTAAGTTACAACTTGTGGATATAGAGTGAACTACTGAGGTACGATTTCCGGCGGGGAGAGAATATGTCCGCTTGCCGTCACATCCAGACTCGCTCCTAACCATACAATACTACGTGATGGTGAGTGGCCAACTTCAGGCTTCGGCAGCCTGTAGTGGGGGAGACTAGGCGGATCCCAGCGCACTTCCCAGTAGAGTATTTACTTTAACTCTGGTGCAACATGTTCGCATTTTATTACTAATTAGGTTTAACAGCCATCACTAAAACAATATATAGGATGTTCCAAGAGGAAAGGTTAATATACTAGGAGGTCATAGTATCGGTTATTCTAAGCAAAAAACAGTGTATATACGTGCGTCGTATTCCGAACGCTTTCCGAGATAGAACTATTTCCCTGTTTAATTCCAAACTTATTGATAAGAAATAGATTTTACGTACTGTTTTTAATGCCGTTTCTTATTGTTTAAGTGCCAAAGTTGGTACAGTTTTCCTTGTATAATTAATTCTTGAAAATTCCACCGTCAACATCAATGCACTTTGCAACTCGTGTGAGGACATGGTGTGTTGCTTATCTGTACAGTGTGCTGGGACACTCTATACAGCATATCTTTAAGATATAACCTTAAGCTACAACCTGTTTCGACCTTCAGTTGACGATCATCAGGTCAGTGAAGTATATATATTTCGTATCTACTGTATCTTCTAAATCTTGACACTAAAAAAGCTGTCCCTGTGCTTAACTAATTAAGCACTACGCCATGATGGGTATGAGGAATGGATGTATAGATCCACATTTGACCTCGGCACAAGTCGGAGGTGAGTGGTCAGCTTCACACCTCGACCGCTAAACACCAGAGGAAGAGCCATCGGTATCCACTGGATATGAAGCTGGGTGGGCCCCAGAGCCTGTCTAAAAGGCGTGGAGTAGAGAAATTTCTTGACTCTAGCCGGACTCGAACTCTGAACCCTCTGTCGTCCAGCCAGGTAGCCAGTCGCTATACCGACTGCGCTATCCCGGCTCTCACAACTTCAGAAGAACCAATGGAACATATAGGATAAGTGCATAAGACAAAGGTATGTACTATTTACAGGACTAACTATCTGCACGGAGCCGAGTCCTTGAGGATCCACCAGTTGCTCAGATAGTCAAGAATTTCTCAACATTTTATGGAAGATGAAGGTTCATTACCGTGTTCACAAGGGACCACCAGTAGTCCCAGTCCTGAGCCAGATCAATTCAGTCCATACCATCCTATCCTATTTCTCTAAGATCCTTTGTTAGCCTACGTTCCTTATTTAAAAAAATAAAAGTAGGTTTATGCGATCACCATACTGTCTGTTTCTATGTATCTTTCCTTATCAGCTTTTGAATGCTGAACCAGTCTTAATGAAACTTGGTATGTATATTATGACACCTGAGCCCATCTCAACAGCGTACTTCATAAATCTCTGCCCCCTATCGTTGTCAAGTAAAGGCTCAGCAAAAACTTTACCGCGGCAACGAATTCACAAGCAATAATAGACGAAGTTTTGAACGCGTCTTTTTTCTATACGGTCCGTGTAGTCTCAAGGAGAGTAGGCGACTAGTTCTTCCCAGAACTTCTTTTAATATTATACTTCCACATATTTCCAGGTCTTCCCAGTGGTCTCTTTCCTTCTAAATTTCCTACATACGTGCATTACTCGTGCATGCCATAACCACCTCATGTTAATATGACGGTTATTGGAATTAATTAATTAGTTCTCGACATTTCAATGAAGACGAAAATTCCGTGGTCCTGTCGGGAACAGATGGCCGGTTGAATCCAGTCGCATTATTGAAATATGATGTGATGTGTTAAACATTTTCTAGGGTACATCATTTTGACAGATGTATTCTTTAAAAAGACTGAGATTTGGGCAGTTTTCCTTAGTTTCTCAAAGCAACGTACTCGTACTGAGGGCTAGGTCACGACGCAGTAAAATAATACATTGTTTGTACCTGACCCACGAACCAGCCATCACCCAACAAAGAACCGGAGGTTCTCACAGCGGTGGATATGACCACTACTATCTTTTGGGAAGTAACGCCGCAAAAATGCGGTAGTATTCCACCGACGTTTCGGAGGAACATCCTGTCTCTACATTCCGGATAGAGGAATAAGCTAAGCGGAGACAACGGAGTTGGGAAATCTCACCGGATGGCCCTGTTTGCAGCCTCATTTTGCTGGTTTCTTTCTTGGTTTACTCTTCGAACATGAAGATGGAGGTAGTGAGTTCCTTCAAAACGTCGGTTGAATTCTACTGGGCTATGTGGGCCTTAGATTTCATCGCACACAGTGTTTCCGAAACACATGTGGGAACGCTGTTGTGAAGACAAGCTCTGTTGATTCGTGTGTGGAAACAAGACCAGAGGGTTCATGGAGGGGGAACGAACGTGCTGTAAAATAATTTGTGTTTAACCTACTTTAAACCAGTTTATAACAAATTCCTTGGAACAAAATTTTCAGTTGCTCAGTCGGTAAAAAACAACGTCCACCTCCTATGATAGTTCGTTATTTTGTAGGATTTGAGGTTCTCACACCGGTGGTTATGAAGAGTTCTATCTTGTTTGATATAACGCCGTGTAGTCCGTTGAAGTAGTATGCAACATGTTCCTCCGGAACGTCCATTAACTTTCAACGGATTACACGGCGTTAAAATCCAGAAGATAGAATCTCTCGTTGATTTCTGTGTTGATAACTAGTTTCTGCATGGGATAACTACAATGGCAGTTAATGAAAAATAGGGTCAGCTAAAACCATGTTATGTGGGTCCCTGTCACCACGGCATGGCACGTCCTCAGGTTGCGGATGGAGGAGACGCCCTCAGGTTTTGGATGAAAGCGGTGAATATATTGAACAAGCAGTCGTAGACAGCCGACAAGGGGTGGCCCTCCAGCTTGGGGCTTGGGCGTGGTGCTAACGACTCCTCACCGTATAATTATTTTACGAAAATGAACACAAAGCCTCGGACCTGGACTGATTCCTTAGATAAACGACCTAAGCTAATGAAAATGGATATGATATTTGACACTTGGAATGTACGAAGTTTGTATAGGGCAGGTTCGCTTAGGGCAGTCGCAGAAGAAATCTTAAAATATAAGTTAGATTTAGCGGGAGTACAAGAGGTCAGATGGGATGGAGGTGGCATCGCACCAGCAGGAGACTATACATTTTTCTATGGAAAGGGGAATGAAAATCATGAATTAGGTAGAGGTTTTTTTGTACATAAGAGAATCATATCAACAGTTAAGAGGATAGACTTCATTAGTGATAGGATATTATATACAATACTAAAAGGTCTCTGGTGTGATATCATTGTTATGAATATTCATGCCCAAACAGAAGATAAAATTGATGACATAAAGGATAGATTGTATGAAGAACTAGAACATGTATTTGATAAATTCCCGAAGTACCCTATGAAAATTTTGTTAGGAGATTTCAATGCCAAAGTATGGAGGGAAGACATTTTCAAACCAACGATTGAGAATGAGAGTTTGCATGAAATTAGTAAAGATAATAGAGTTAGAGTAGCGAAATTTGCAACATCAAAAAATCTTACTGTCAAAAGTACAATGTTCCCACATCGTAACATTCATAAATTTACTTGGACATCTCCTGATGGGAAGATACACAATCAAATAGACCATATTTTGATAGATAGGAGACGGCACTCCAGT